TGCTCCCGCGCCTCGCTCAGCCAGTGAGCGGGAGCCGGTCTGTATGTGGGATCCGAACCCTCGGACGGGAGCGCCGCCGCGCTTCCCAAGCGGCACACTATCCAGTGCGCCACCGGGCCGGCCCATCATTCTTCATCTCTCTTCCCACCCACAGTCAACCCACTCGTATTCTGAATCTGTCCTTTCTGCTGCTTCTGGGACCTGGCTCTACTTCCTCATTGGCTTTCTCCCCTAAGTATAGACAACCAAAAGATTAAAGATAAAACAAGAAATGTTCTCCTGACTCAGGCTCCCCCAGCCATCATTTTCTTTCACAGTCAGGCTTCTAGAAAGAATAATCTAATCTACTTGTCTCCACAGCTTGAACTCCTGTTTACCCTGCAACTAACAACAATTTAGTTCCTGCTCTCACCATTCCATGGAAATAGCTGGTCAACCCTCGAACTTCTGGTTGCTAAGTCCAGTGGACATGTCATTCTTCCTCTTATTTGACTCCTGCCTCCTGGAGTACAATGGCACAGTGACTTCTGGTTTTCCTCCTGCCTTTCTGAATGCTCTTTTGTGAAATACTTTTCCTCCACCTGCCCCGTAAATGTTGTTTCTCCCAGGACTCGACCCTTTGTCCTCTCCTCTTTCTGCTCTGCAGGGAGATTCTACCATCCCTCTGGTTTCAAACCCTCTACACCCTGATTACTTCCAAATTATATCTCCAGACCAGAACCCTTCATTAGCTCCAGACAAGCATATTTAATTGCCTAATAGGAACCTCTGTCCCTCAGCTGCCTCAAAGTCAAATGTTCAAAACTGAAGTCATCAGCTTTCCTTACCAAACCTGTTCCCTCTCCGTTATTCTCTCTTTGGGTGCATGTCATCATCATATACCAGTTTCCCAAGGCGGGAAGCTAGGAGATAACCCAGCTTAGCCTTGCTTCTTTACTGCCTACCTAGGTAGCTCAATCCTACCACTTTTGTGCTCTGAATAGTTCTCAGATCTGGCTCCATCTTCCATCTACACTGCTATTGTCTTAATTCAGGTCCCCATGGTTTCCTGCCTAGAACACTGAGGAGCCTCCTTAACAGTGGTCCTAAGCTCTCATCCTCCCCTAACTTAGGTTCCCAAAGTACTGTCAGGAGCAGTCTTTCTAATATGAAAATCTGCTCCTCTGTTCAAAATTCCTCCATGGCTCCTCTTCCATGTAACACTCAAAGTCTTTCACTAGTTGAGGGGTTTTATCCGGCCAGTGTCTTTTTACTCCTGCATCCACTTCACAGCTTAAACTGCAGTCATACGGAGGTCTTTGTAGTTCCCTGAGCATGTCAGGTTTTCTTACTTCCCAGCTTTTATATGTACTCTTGTGTCCATCTAGAATGTTCTCCATACGTGTATCAGAGAAAACAACTCCTAATGTCCTTCATGTCCCAGCTCAAATGTGGCTTCCTCTCCCAGCATTTCTGGGCTCCCCCAGGTAGATATAGCTGCCCCTTCTCCTATGTATCCATTGTACTTTGTATGCTTGGATATATTTAGATACCTCACTTTCTTGAATCTATTAATGCTTTTATTTATTCCAGAAAGTATTTTAGCTGGCTTATAAATGTACATAATTACAACATGGAGATATAAATTTTTAGTGGAGGGAAAGAAGGCAAATAAAGATTGAGATTCAGAATGGAGTTAGGGGAAGGGCACACCAGGATGGGCTACTTATCATCGGGGCTGCCAAGCCTCCAGCCCTTCCCAGAAGCCATCATTGATAAGGGATGCTGGTCAATGACAGAATTCAAAACAGACAATGAAGGCAATCCCTGCTCAGGAACCTACGAATACTCTCAACACCAAGACCAAGCAGGAGTCTCTCCCAGGGTCTTCATATAAAGGATATGGTACTAGATAATAAACAAAATCTTCAACAGTATCCTCATAACTGATACAAGGCACTTAACTGGGGCTTTTTTTTTTTTTGATATAAAATATTTTAACATTTACTTGTACATATTTGTGGGGTACAGTATGTTGTTTCAATACACGCCTATACTGCACAATGAGTCACTTAGGGTACGTAGCACAGTTTTATACCTGTTAGTCCACCCCTTCTCCCCCGCCCCCTCCCCTTCCGGCCACTGGTAACGATTATTCTACTGTACTTCTATGAGAACCACTTACTTTTTTTTTTTTTTTTTTTTTTTAAGATTTCACATATGAGTGAAATCATGTGGTATTTGTCTTTCTGTGCCTGACTTACTTCACTTAACATGATGGTTTCCAGTTCCATCCATGTTGCTGCAAATGATAGGATATCATTTTTTTTAATAGCTGAGTAGTATTCCATTGTGTATGTATACCACAGCTTTTTAATTCATTCATCTGTTGATGGACATTTAGGTTGATACCATTGCTTGGCTATTGTGAATGGTGTTACAATGAACATGGGAGTGCAGGTGACTTTGATATATTGATTGCATTTCCTTTGGGTATATGCCCAGTAGTGGGATAGCTGGGTCGTAAGGTAGATCTATTTTTAATTCTCTGAGGAACCTCCGTACTGTTTTCCACAATGGAATGGGGTCTTTTTCCAATAGCGATATATTTCACTGATACTTAACATCAAATCACAATTCAATGAAAGTCACATTTCAGGTAGGCGGAATACCAAACATATCAGTATCTAGTTCACCAGTCTGATTTGATCCACAGGTAGATTTCAGACTAACTTAAAGAAAAGGTGAGCTACATGTCCTTTAAGTAACCTTCCTAGAATATTGCTTATGCCATGTGAATTTTTTTTAGAGTATCAGTGAATTCCAGATTATTCTCAAACAGGGGCTGGCCAGTTAGCTCAGTTGTCTAGAGCACAGCCTTATGACACCAAGGTCACAGGTTAGATTCCCCTTTCCCACCAGCTGCCAAAAAACAAAAAAAGACTAATGTATTTTCATAAACATAATGTGCTAGGCACCCTGCTAATTGTCAGAAAGACAAAAATGAAAAGACTCAGCCCCTGCTTTTAAGACACTAAAGAGACTGGCACACAGAAATATATGGTTATATAAATGTTCATCACATCCATTAAACCTTAAAGAATAAGGTAAACTTAAGGAATTTTTTTTTTAAGTAGGTAAGAAATATTGGCTTATTATCCACACCTTTGACTAACAAGTGAATTACAATAATATGCAGATTACACAGTCAATTTTGAATTGACAAAATGTACAACCATTTGACATTTACATGATTACTGATAAATAGCCACAGTAAAATAGCTCCAATTGTCTGTTATTTCCATTTCAAATTTATAGACCTACATCGTATATCCATTGAGCACCCCTTAATTTCAAAAAGTTTTGAGCCAAAACTTGCCAATATATGTTTCTAGTTGCTTTAAGAATCCTGAAACTGGGGCCGGCCCGGTGGTGCACTGCTATAGTGCGCCACTTGGGAAGCGCGGCGGCGCTCCC